CAGGTTCAAATCAAGGGCCGGATCGCTAGAACTCCGCCCCTTCCCGCTCCCCCAGAAATCATCCGTTCTATGTTCGCTCTCCCAGCGCTCTGATGCAGGCCGTCGAAGCCTGCTCTACACTCGGATGAACGTGTCTAGGAACGCTATCAAACGGTGGCCACCGTCTGGCTCTGCTAAACGTATACGCCCACTGACCCGACGCCGATCGGGCCAGCGCAGACGCACATTTCACACTGATGCAGCAATGCAGCGAAGGCCTCGAGGGCCTCATCGGAAAGGTACATCAGCGACCGAGGATGTATGTGACAGCGCCCTACAGCCGCGCGCTCTGGAAACTTCAAGATGGCTGCCCGGAGACCAGACGCATACACCTCAGGGAGGGGGTCCCAAAGATGCGCGTCTCCAAGGATCTCTGGCTCGGGAGCGCCCGTGGGTGGCCCAAATTTTCCCCCACTCCGACATCGCGTCATGAGACAGCTCGTAGGTCGGGCCCTTCGGGTGGTTCCCGTGACCTCCTGGATCGCGCGGGCCCTCCAGAAGTGATGGGCCCCCTCGGCCCCCCCCGCAAAACTGTCTCGGGCCCACTTTTGCCACTCGTTGCTTTTCTCAGCCAGGTGGGTCGTCTCGTGTTCGGCGGCGCGGTCTAAAATGCGGTGCGCGAAGTCCTGAAAAAGCGGGGTCTGCTAGGGCCGACAATCTGGCCTTGAAAAAGCCGCTTGAGAACGAGTCCAGCTGGCTGTGCGCCCGCTCGATCCTGGCGACGCAGCCGTAGTGTCGTTCCACGTCCAGCAGCGCCTTGGCGACCCTGCGCGCGCGGCTGTCCTGGTCTCCGCCGTCGAGGTCCAGCCTGGGCACGTAGGTGCGCAGCAGCGTGTCTACCTGCCTCAAGTGGCGGGCCCACCTGGCCGCCATGCTCCAGGCAGCCTGCTCGGAGGTCACCTGCAACGTCTAGGGCTTCGGGACGAACTGCAGCCTCTTCCGCGCCACCTCATGAGGTCCTTCGCGGCCCTCGTAGGCGCGGCGCTCAATCCCCATGGCGCCGTGCCTATCCAGCAGCTCGCGCCCCACTCCCTTCAAGAAGACGCCCCAGTGCTCGCTCAGGTCGGCTCCGCTCTTAGCCGACTTGACCTTCTCGTGCAAATGGTTCCAGTGACGTGGGTGCCTCGTGCAACCAGGCTTCGCCATGGTCGGAGTGCGCATGGGCTGACGCGCCACTCGGGGCCGCAACATCGCGTCCGCTCCCAACGGGCCCAACTGGACTGGCTTGTGAGGCGCGGAGTCAACATCATCTAATGCAACTGCTCGGCTGGTGCGAATAGCGAGGTTCGCGCTGATGAAGATGTTGTCAATGGCAGTGCCTGGGGCCGACTGCAGACAAGTAGCCGCAGCTGGCGCCGAAATAACTTAGCCGCAAATAACGGCCCAGCTGCCCGAGATCTCCGGCTCCATCTGAAAGTCGCCGCCGATGACCCGCTCCCAGCCGAGCTCGTTCAGCTGGGCGCAGTTCCTGGCCGCCTCCGCCAGGAGCGCCGCGTTGAAGGCGCCCGCCTGGCCATCCACGTGCAAGTGGAGCGAGGTCGCGACGAAGCCGCCCTTGGCCACGGAGTGCAAGTGCCCGGCCACGGCTCGCGCCGACGCCAACTGCCCTCCTGCCGCGAGGGGCGGCGCTGTGATCTGAATCTTCCCGGGGCTGAGAATGCCCCCCCCCCCCCCCGACTTTCCCCCGCAATCGGTGGCCGGAGCCCTCGACCATGTGCCGTGGTATCCAACCGCGCCTGCTCGAACCAGGAAGTCGGGCAGCTCGTCGTCCACATGGAGTTCCTGCGCGCGAAGAATCATGGCCTCCCTATCGAGCGAACCCGAGGGCTCCTTCGCCTCAAGCAGCTTGCCAAGGGGGGCGTGGCTCGTAGCATTAGCTGTTGCGACTCTGACCATGGCTACTAAGTGGAAGAGCATTCTCACGATTCTACAAGTCTGGAAGGCTGGCGTACGCGGACGAAGCGCGCCTGATCTTCTTCGCGAAGTTCTCCAACTGTTCACTTGCTCGTTTGGTTGCTTCGCCAAGTTCTTCGTCTAAGTCTGGGGCAGCCGCGTGGGCACTTCTAAGAAACTCACGTAGCGCATCAGGGTCGGCATCCGCAGCCTTTGGGATCCACTCTGGCCCAGGGCCAGGGTTGGCGCTGCCACCGCCTCCCTCGCCCGCAGCTTGCTCCGCGGCTGCTGCTGCCTGCCTGGCGCTCTCGGCCTCGCGCTGCTGCTTCTCCCTGTGAGCCTTCTCCGCGTCCCGCACCTCCGCGAGCGCGCTGTGAAGGTTCTTCGCCATCGCCTCGGACGCGCCGACCCCCTGCAAGATCGAGCCCAATTGCTCGACCGTGGGCTCGGTGCTGGACCCGAGCACCTGGCCCAGCGACTGCGGCTTCCCTTTCTGCGACTCTGGAGGCTGAGGGGCTTCCGCAACGAGTGCGCGCCGCAACTCCTCCAGCTCAAGCAGCTCCGCCTTCGTGCCGCTGAGCGCTGCGGAGGCCTCCCGCACAGCTTCTTGCGCCTGCAGCACCTTGCCCTCCAGCTCCAGCAGCTGATCTTGTTGCCTCTTGGCCTTTGCCTCCAGCTTCGCGTGCTGGAAGGACATCTTCTTGAGCCGCATGTCCACCGGCTTCGACTCCGCCCACTGTTTGCGAAGCCTTGCCTGCTTCTCTCGAAGCAGGCGATCATCCTCTTGAGCCTCCTCCGATTTGACATCCTTGATCGCGTCGATGTGTGCCGCCAGCCCCGCCTACTGCTGCTTGATGTCACTCGGGGCGCCCGCATTGCCTCCGTCGACATCCATGGCTGACGGTGGCGGCTCGGGCGGGGCCTTGGCGACTCCTGCTGACGCTGACGCAACTGCTGTTCCACAGTCGACTTCCCTGGCGCATGCAAAAGACTCTGCGGCGGGGCTGAAGGCTTCCGAATACCTCCGAATGCAGTGGACTAGTGCTGCTGGCATTTGCTGTATTCTGACAAATCAGCACGGTTCCACTACTGTTCTCCTTTGTTGTAACAACAATGTTTGCACACCCGCGGAGAAGCCCAAGCCTTCCGAGCCTTCTGGTGCCCCGAAAATACAGGCCCTCGTGCTCGTCCCTGCTGCGGTGCCATCTGGCTCGGCCTCTGAGCCTCGCCGACGTCGTGACAAGGTGAAGGAAATGCAGGCTAACCGCGGTACCGTATCGAAGATGTGGCGCCGCCAGGGGCGACAAAAACGGTGGGGGCCGTCCCTCCCCCTTGCCAGGCGGCTCCTGTCCTTGAGCGAAACACTACGGACTTGAGCCACAATGGCTACGGAGGAGGAGGAGCAGGAGGAGGAGGAGGAGGAGGAGGAGGAGGAGGAGGAGGAGGAGGAGGAGGAGGAGGAGGAAAGGAGATACTGGAGGAGGAGGAGGAGGAGGAGGAGGAAAACGAGGGGGGGAGGGGAACTCACGCCTGAACGTCATCAGGCGATGCAGTTGCGACGTGAACAAAAACTCGCTTCCAGCGGGCCCTGCGCCTCGCGGCGTCGACCAGGGGGGCTCTTCTCTGGCTGCCTGCCTGAAGGCCCGGGCAGGCCGGGAAGTTGGGGCCTCCCAGTCTTAAGTCGGGCCTGTCCCCCTACAGGGGGATTTTCGACGAAAAATAAAAAAATACCCCAAGAATGCAACAGAAAGGCCAAACAATACTTGAAAAATAGTCCCCAGACTATTTTTGGACTATTTTTGGGGTGCTCTTGTATTTTTTGTCGAAAATCCTCCCGTAGGGGGACAGGCCCGACTGAATCTTGCCTGAGGGCCAGGGCAGGCTGGGAAGCTGGGGCCTCCCAGCCTCTGCTTTCTTCCTGCTTGCCTCAGCGAGCGCGGGGGCTCTGTGGCGGGCTGACCATGGGCCCTCATCCCGTCCGATCCTCCTCCTGTCTCTCTTCCTCCTCCCCCTCCTCCTCCTCCTCCTCCTCCTCATCCCCTCCCTCCCCAGAGGAACAGCCAATTGTATCAACACCACTTCTGGGAGGTCCGCGCGGAGCTCCACACAACTATGTTTATGTTTCCTGCTGCTCTTCGGCTCCCACCCTCCTCACATGTTCGTCCCCTCCCCCCCCTCCTCCCAACGGGAGGGGGACCCTGCGCCTTGCGCCGGGCACCCTGGCGCCGCGCGCGCTGGCGGTAGTCTCCACCTGGGCCCCCCGAGGCCCCCTCCCCGCCCTCATCGCTTGGTGGAGGTGCGGGCGTGGATTCGGGGGCGGCCAAGAGGGGGACGTCCAAGAGAGAGGGGCACAAATCGTGGCCGGCAGCATGTGCGCGGCCCAGGGGGGGACCGGGGACGTATTACGGTAATCAGAGGCGCCATGAAATCTGGGGAGATCTCATGCCCCCCGCCATGATGCCCCCCCCCATAGGTCATCACCCCCCTCTTTGCCGACCCCGATGGACAGCGTGCCGCGCCGAAGCGTGGTGGGCCGGGACTGGCGGCGCGACACGCTGAGCCCCACGTTCCTGACCGTGCGTCCTTCTGCTGCCATCCGGCCTGCTCCTCCTCCTCCCCGAACGTCCCGAGCTTCGTGCTGACTACCTACCAGACCACCCCAACCCAACCCGAAGACCCGAATTTGACCCGAATTTCGGGTTGGGGGGGGTACGGGTTCCATGTGTTTTTTCAACGTTCCCCGACCCCCCCCCTGGAAATGGAGGGCAAATTGAGGCTTTCGGGTTGGGTTGGGGTGGTTTGGTCGGTGGTGACGTGCTCCCCCAGGACCTCTCGCTCCCTTGCCAAAGGCTGGCTCGTCCTGCCCGACTGCTTCTTGGACTGCCCCGGAACCCGCAGCTGGCCTCCAAAGACCAGACGTGCAGACAAACCGGCCACTCTGATTCTTTCGAGGCGCCCGATGTCTGGGTCCTCGCCTTGCTAGGTAACCGCAACCCCGTGCTTTGCCGCTTTCGCTATCCCACCGCCTACGTGGGCTGTTACTCGCCCTGCGTGGCACCGGAACGGTCCGCAACAAGCGACCGCCGAACGAGACGTGCGTCAGCTCTTTCGCCTCCTGGCCGGCACAAATGATAGGCATCGTGACAATTCCATGCCTGCGACGTAGTGTTTTTTTGCAATGCGGGGTCCCTGGAGATCTCGCGCCTTTCCTGGGGACCGATTTTTCATTTTGGGCCATGCTGTGGTTGTCCCAGGGCCCAGACATGGTCCTGGAAAGGCCGAGGAAGACGAAACACGACGGAATTGGCAACACAAATATACACGTCGGAGGTTTAGGGTCGGACCAGCAGCAACGAGAGAGGCAACAGCAGATGGAACAATGATGACACATAGTAAGGTACATGGGCGTTACGGCTTCGCCACCTGATATCCACGAGATAGCGGGAACAACCATCGAGATAAATGAAAGCACTGGCACGACACGGCGAAACTGAATGACTTAACGCATAAGTCTCGACTGTGGCCTGGTTGTCCAGCGGCCCGGCCTGGTCATTAGAAACACGGCGACTCATTTTGCGTGGTGGTTTGGTAGGCATTCGCAACTGCACCAGCTCAGGAGGAGGAGAGGAGAAGGAGAGAAGAAGGAGGATGAGGAGGAGAAGAATGAAGAGGAGAAGGAGAAGAGGAGGATGATGAGATGAGGAGATGAGAAGGAGGATGAGGAGGATGAGGAGGATGAGGAGGATGAGGAGATGATGAGGATGGTGCGCGCATCCGAGAGGAGAAGGAGGATGAGGAGGATGAAAGCTCGCATCCGAGGGGGGAGGGGAGGCTGCAGAGGCCTCCAGAGGCCCTGAGGCAACTGGGGAGAGATGGAGGAGAAACAACAGGAGGATGACGATGAGGCGGAGCGCGCCCATCCGACGGGGGTGGAGGAAGAGGTGGAGGAGTAGGAGGAGGAGGAGGAATGCTGGCATCCGAGAAGGGAGCTTTGGAGACTTCCGGAAGCCGAAAAAGGTTAGACAACTTCCGCCCATCACACGCGAGACCTCAAGGAGGAGGTGGAGGGGAGGAGGAGGAGGTGGAGGAGGAGGAGAAGGAAGAGGAGAGCACGCATCCGAAGGGATGATGATGATGATGATGATGATGATGATGATGATGATGATGATGACGATGATGATGATGATGATGATGATGATGATGATGATGATGATGATGATGTTGATGTTGATGTTGATGTTGATGATGATGATGATGATGATGATGATGATGATGATGAGGCAGTGGAGGAGGAGGAGGAGAAGGAACACCAGGAAGAAGAGACTTACGCTTTGGATGATCGAAATTGGGACGGAAATGTGAGGACGTTGCCCAAGAGAGAGCGAGTGTTGCTCCAAACCGACAGCGGCCGCCGTTGGGCAGGCGCCTTTTTGCCTCAGCGAGTAAAGTCCGCGGCAGCTCCGACGGCGGCTCCTGTTCAGACATGCTGATGGTCTGCGCCCCCATTCTGGGGAGACCCCAAGAGGTACCGATACCGCTGCTCCCCAGACCTTTCCCGGGGTGCGATGTGACCAGCATTTCGAGGCGAATCCAGTGGTGGCGACGAGGGCATCCCAGGAGGTCCCAAAAAGAGGGAACACGAGGAAGGGGTAGCGGTATGGGTACCTCTTCCTCCTCTGACATTCCTTCCGCCCCGTACCCCTGGGACAGCGAAAACCGCGCGTGGCCGAACAAAGGCCGGCGCCAGCCTCAGGCTACCGACGGATTTGGTAAGAACCATGAAACATAGCCGTAAATACTCAAGATGAACAAAGCATTGCAGAAACATCGTCCCCAGACTATTCGACGCTTCTTGAAGCTTGCTCCTGCAAAGGGACATGCCTGACTTAACGCGAGCCCCGGGCACCCGGGAGCCGGCCGAACGGTGCGCCGCCGTGGGCCGCACCTCAGAGGGGGGAGGCTCCGGCCCACCTGGGCAACAAAAAGCACGGGTGGTTCGTGTCGTGCCGACTCCGGCGCTGGTTCCGTTACACCGCGGGGATCGTTCCATCTTGAACGATCGGCCCTTTCCGAAACGACATATCGTTCAACACCGAGCGATTCTGGGTCGCCGGCGGCGTGCAACGTTGAACGCTGGCGGCGGGGTCGCCGCCGGTCGACACGACGCGAACCTACCGTAGGGCCATCCCCCGTTCGGCCCTCTCGAGAGGAAGCTCACTCGGGGATGTCCTGGGATATCTGGGCCATGAACCCGGCCTCGTCGCGCTCCAGCACCCATTTGCTCAATTGGTCTCGGAGGCTCACCGCGCACTTGACCTCTCTCTCCCCCTCCTCCTCCTTCCCCATGCCCCTGGCGGGAAAGGAGGATGAGGGCGAATCAATTCTTTCGGGGGGAATGGGAACAAAAAAAACGGGGGAGGCAGGGGGAAGGGGTTGAGGGGATACAGGGGGCGGGCGGGGAGGGGGAAGGGGGGGGAGGGAGGGGAAGAAGAGGGGGGCGCGTGTGGGAGGGAGAGAGGGCGGGGGGAAGTGAAGGCTGGGGGAGAGGGAAGGTGGAGGGAGAGGAGA